AAAAAAAAGAAAATATTTAGCCACACTACATGGCATGCAGGATCATAGTTCCCCACCAGGGATTGAACCCATGCCTCTTGATTATCTAATTAGCCTACAGTAGATGGTAATTTCCTAACTAGCCTACAGTAAATGGTAATTACTAGCCTACAGTGGTGGTATAATTGCTAAGTTGTGTCCGACTCTTGCAACCCCGTGGACTGTAGCCTGCCAGGCTCCTCTGTCCATGGGATTCTCCAGGCAAGAATACTGAAGTGGGTTGCCATGTCCTCCTCCAGGGGATCTTCCCAAACCATGAATTGAACCTGGGTCTCCTGCATTGCAGACAGGTTCTTTACCAACTGAGCTACAAGGGAAGCCCAAGCCTACAGTAGATGTTAATTTCCCACCCACTTGGCCATAACGTTTTCACAAAGGCTTTATTCTGAAAACAAAATATCTTTACTAAAGTCATGTTAATGACAAAATTTGAGGGTACTAAAATTATAAATTAGAGCAGTATTTTGATCCTCTCCTTGAATCACCAGATATTGACATTCTGCACTTATTTTGCATTGAGCTTAATAACTTATCTGGATGACATTGATACTATGGCATTATATTCTTATAGTAATTATACTCTAATCTAGAAAATGGGAGAAAAATAGAATAAAAAGATATTGCTGAGGGGAAATAAGGCAGTCCAAACGACAGTAATATATAACATGAAATTTGAGGAGATAAATGAAATAGATCATTTAAGATAAACAATTTTAGAACATAGAAAGGAAGTTCCAGCCACAAGGTTTCTATTTCCTGCATTAAAGCAACTGCTTACTAGATGATAACTTAAGAAACTAGTTCCCAGGGAAGAAGTGAATGGCACATTTCTAAAAGCCAGTTTATAGGTCGCTAAGTAAAACACTTCCAGACTGGAGAAAGATCTATGAGGATAGATGTCTTAAATTTCTTAGTCAACAATAAATTTTCTAACCACAAACGGTGTTGGGTTCATAGCAGATGTTCCATGAATATTAGTTGCTAAATGTATGATTTAATGAATGAATAGGATTCCAAGGAAATATGACTCTTCAAATTATTTCCATCTCAAAGATAGGAATCTCCAACTTTTCATTCTTTACTTGGATATTCTATTTCCTAAACTATTTGTTTTCTACAAATTTTAAAAGGATATCTCAGATTCTGGGAAATTCCTGCTTGCTTCTTCATGCTGCACCTGCAGTTGTGAGAAGGTACATTTCAGATAGCAGGGAAAACCCATAGGTCACCACAACAACACACTGCAAACTGTCTGGCCTCTGGAGCATGAATTTAAGAGAACAGGAGTATCTGAGTGATTAGGAGGTAAGAGGAAGGGGGTGGAGACAACGTAGCTGAATATAAACGCTGAGGTATCTCAAAGACTCAGAGACGGAACAAGAGCTCCAGCAGAGACTTTCCAGTAGGTTGGCTCCACCTAGGACTAACCAGGGGGATTGTGACAAGGATAAAGATGACTTCTGAAGATTTTTCTGCAACAGAGACCAGCTCCTTGCACCTGAAAAGAGAACAACAAAGTAAGTCAAGTCTTATTCTCTAAACACTGGTAATATCTCTATTTATGTTTATACCTATATACCTATGATATATATCAGTAGTTAGGGAGAAAATCAAGCTTGCCTTTTGTGGAAAAACTTGGCTATGTTCCATTTGAGCAAGATACAAGAGAAAGTGGGAAGAAGTAAATATTTATTTATCTATGTGAACACAGAATACCTGAGACTCAAAAAGAAATCACAAGGGTGAATTTTAGAAACTCCTTAAAGATCCATCTCTTTGTTTTATTTTATACCATCTCAGTTTTTCAGATTTAATTAGAAAATCCCCTTCCTAGCCCAGTGAGCTATCATTTTTTCATAGCCATCTGGACATCCCCTAGGAAGCACTGCCTCTTTTTATGAAAAATTCTATTTTTCATATAAATAATTATGTTCTTGACTTGGTGAACCTTGTACCATTTTTGCTTTTTGTGGGATTTATCTTGTGTTCTCAAGAAAACATCCTCCAGTTGCTGGGAACACAGGTTTCCAGACTTTGAGAGAATAGCTATATAAGCATTTGGATATTTATAGTATCCAAAGGCAATTTATTGTGAGAACCTCATAAAGAATTCTTGGGGGGAAAAAAAAAAAAGAATTCTTGAAAACACAACCTTCTTCTCTAGTCCTATGGGGACTCTTCCCCTCCATTTCACTTTTCTATTTGTTGTTGTTGCTATTCGGTCACTAAGTTGTGTCTAACTCTTCGTGAACCCATGGACTGCAGCATATCGGGCTCCCCTGTCCTCCACTGTTTCCCAGAATTTGCGCATATTCATGTCTCTTGAGTCAGTGATGCTATCTAACCATCTCATTCTCTGCTGCCCACTTCTCTTCCTGCCTTCAATCTTTACCAGCATCATGGTCTTTTCCAATGAGTCGGCCCTTTGCATCAGGTGGCCAAAGTATTGGAGCTTCAGCATGAGTCTTTCCAGTGCATATTCACAGTTGATTTCCTTCAGGATTTACTGGTTTGATCTTGCACTCCATGGGGCTCTCAAGAGTCCCCCAGAACCACAATTTGCAAGCACTGTTCTTTGGCACTCACTTTTCTATTTCACCTTTCTAATCATGGACTTCAAATTCTATATGAATCAGACATTTTTCTCCATTTCTTTTATTTTTCATCAAACTATGATTACCTATGCTATATCACTTTTCTCCTTTTCTGTTTGTCTAAAAGATCCACAGATCTTTTCATCTCTTGTCACCAGGATTTTCCCATTGTTTTCCAATAACTTTTTTGGGAAGCTTTCTTGACATTTCATTTCTCTCTCTCTTCCTCTCATGTTAATGAGGTACCCCAAACACTAGAAGGTAAGAACTAGAGTTTCCTTGTAAACACAACTATCCAGTAACAAAGAATGTGTTCTGAACAACAGAGGTAAAAATATCTAAAGGAGAGAGTTGTTTTCTGAATATGTGTCTACTAGCATGATTTGCTTTAGAAAAGCATTCATTGCCTCTGATAAACCCATCTTTCACTTAGGAACACAACATCAAGTGTGGATATTGCAAGCGACACAAATTTTTTGGTGACCAGATACCCATTGCTTGGTGACTCAGCTAAGTTTCCTGAAAGAAAAAGTATATTTAAGAATGAAACCTTTCAATAATAGCATAATTGAAATAAGAAAGAATTAATTGTAGGAATTCTGAACTTTTCCTGAAATCATCCCAATCTTCTATTGAATATTTTATTTATGACTATTTAGTCTATGCTGCTGTTTTAGCTTTTTCGGTGTGAACAATCTTTTAGCACCACCCTTGGGGGATTCGATATGTACTAGAGGATTTGTTTTCAAATATCTCCATTAATGGACAGGGCTTGTAACCAAAGTGGAAGTATACTCTTAGAGGAGTGTTTTGTTGCCTAGGTGATAAAACAAACTGTGAATAACAATAGCCCTAACTAATGGATATAACGTAAAATCAGAGAATCACCTCTGCAGCTTACCCACTGGATGTCCAAGCCGACAGTGTGAATCCAATGGATAAGCCAATGGACTCTGGCATCCATGAGCTACTTGGATGCGTTGGTACTTCCTGAGGAACCAGAGATGTTCCTGCATTGAGTTTGAGCCCCTTCATTGAGTCTCACATGGTGAGAAGTGAAACTAGACAGATAGCTCTGAACTTGCTACCCTAACTACCAAGCGCTGCTTCTGGTAATAGTTGTATGCTGATGAGAAATAAAGATTTGCTTTAACAAGTTCAGAGAAATAGAACCAGATAGAAGTGAAGTAAAGTCTTCTCTTGGAAAATTTGAAAGCAGATCTATGCTGGGAAAAACAACTTTCAGAAGAGGCAAAAGTTGTCTTAACATACATTGCATAGTAAATTGCTTTGAAGGAAAACAGTATCTCTTTGACTAGTTTAACCTTAAAGAATACAATTATAATATATGTTGAATTTTCATAGCTATTGAGTACATATTTGGGGAAATATTTTATAATCTCATTATTGTGACTGGATTCTATCATTTCTAGCCAAAAATAACTTATTCAAAATTTGAGAAATGTAACTTATAAATTTCATTTAAGAATGTAGGGAGACATATAATATTTTTTTTTAAATGCCTCAAGAGAAAATCAAGTGTCTCTTTCTTACTTATATAGCCTGCCTCATCATCCACTTTCTCTCTTTAGGTCATGTCACTGGAACTTACTCTGCAACATATCATGAAGGGTCCATTCAAGTTCCTATCCCATGTGCTGTAGTAAATGTGGTCTTCATCACCACTCTCATCATAGCTCTCATTGCTCTATCAGGTGAGTCTACACTTCATGAGTTCATCAAAAATTAATCAGAATTTTAATCTTAGATCATCTCATTTTTCAGACATGGTCAAGTTCCTAGGAAATATAAAATATGGTTCTACATTCCTTAGATAACTGATACAATATTTTTCTAGTTTTCTAGAGCTTTAGAACTATTAAAAATTGTCTATGATTTATATAATACCATGGGAGAAAATTACATGTGAGAAGATATTTAACTCTGGAACAAAAGGTGCTGATTTAGTTTCTAAACAAATAGACATTTAACTGGAAAAGTGTGGGCTGCCCATTCATTGTTGATTAAAAAGTGCTATCTATGCCATAGATTAATAAGGAATTGGACAGTCTCTTATCTCAAAAGACACACAATGGTGGGTATGGATAATTGAGATAATTAAGAATATGTCTAGAAACTTTCAAGAGCTAGTTTTGTTATGGTATTTGAAACATACAGCTATACCAAGATACATTTGTGTTTTATACAGACATGAAATTTTACAACGTTAGGATACATCCCCAGCCATAAACCTTTTTGTATTCTGAATTGCTACTCTGCTAGTATCCTCTCCTCCACCTTGCCATATAGAGTTATATCTATTACATCTTCAAATTCTTGCCCCTCTGCATTCAGATGCAAAACCTTGATAGGAATTTATAATGTACTGGGCTGGCCATAAAATTCATTCAGTTTTTCTGTTACCTTGAACCAACTTTTCAGCCAACCCCAATACCTTGTACCCCTTTTCAAGTAGAGTCAAAAGACTATTTTCAAGATTTTTTAAATTTCCCCTCCATTTTCTGACCAAAGTGACACCCTCTTATTTCTTAGACCTTGTACAATGATGATGAGATACAATAAGAGATCAGATAAAGTGAAAAACTGCTTTCTTGCTCTTTACAGAATTTATCTTCCTTTTTTTATATCTTTAAATGGAGCATAATCTATAAAAATTCTGAATCAGTGTGCTGTACACTGAAGCTAATATATTGTATGTCAACTATACTTCCATAAAATTTTTTTAAGTTCATCTTCTTTCCTCTCTTCCTTTATCACCTAGTAGAGTATCCCTGAACTCCTTTGTACCCTATCGGTATTTGGTTCCTTATGTTGCTAAAACAAACCATTTTTATGTTCACAGTGGGCCAGTACAACTGTCCAGGACAATATGTGTCATCAGCACCACCAAACACCCATGTGTTTCCATGCTCAGACGATTGGATTGAACACAACGGGAAATGCTATCTTATTTCCAAGAAAACAAAGAACTGGACCTTGGCCCAAAACTCTTGCTCCAAACACGGTGCCACTCTTGCTGTCATTGATTCTAAAGAGGACATGGTAAGACAACATTCGAAAAGAATTCCATAAAGTATTGATATTCTTTTTTATTTTATATAGATAATCCATGATTTTCTTCTGTTTCCTTCTAAGTGTAGATATTCTGTCTGTCTCTGAGCCGGGAAAACTTAGTCACAGGAAACCACATGATCAGCCTGAGGTCCAAATGAGAGTCCAGTGTAGTTTTTAAGTGTGATGTGTTTAGCTTCAAAGACCAGAAATCCAAATGACCTGAACCCACATAGCACTATTAATCGTTAGTTAATACAAATGATCAGCTGAGCTCCAATGCTTACTAGTTGCAGATTTGAGAAACAGAATTTATTACATATTTATCAGGAGGGGTGGTTTAACATACACTTCCTTTGTTCTTTCTTCAAGAACTTTTTAAAACAACATGTGGGTAGAGCTGAACACTGGATTGGGCTGAAAAATGAAGCTGGTCAGACATGGAAATGGTCAAATGGCCAAGAATTTAACAACTGGTGAGTTTCAAGATATCTCTTTATGCTCCCAGGACTGCCAGCTCCCAAAGCTGACAGCTTTCGGTTTTCTTTCAAAGTGTTGTTCTATATGAAGGTTGTACTCTTAGAAGCAGAGCTTTAACATTCTCTTTTGTATGTTATACTCTGTGGGAAGGGTCTCCTACCTTCAAGATCTAATGCCTGATGATTCAAAATGGAGCTGATAAAAAAAATATAAAATAAGGTGTACCATAAATGTAATGTGCTCAAATCATCCCAAAACAATCCCCCTGCCCCAGTCCATGGAGAAATTATCTTCCATGAAACCTGTCCCTGCTACCAAAATGGTTGAGGGCAGCTAAACTATATAATTCTAAAAGAAGGACTTTAATAGTAATATTATCCTTTTTTATCTGCTTGGAGTTCATATGATAAGTACTTCTAGTAATTTGATCTCAGTAAGTTCTAGTGAAATAAGATTCAAATATTTCACGTATAATTATGATAATGTGAAAAAAAATTCCAATCTAATATTTGTATTTTATTGACAGCTAGTTTTTGGAAAGGAATTCCCTTTTAACTTTCCTAGTTCTCATATCCACAGGGATAAAAAACAATATTTCCAATACCTATTGATAATTAGAAGCTTCTATGGATCTGAGAGAAAATTTGCCCCAAAATTAAAGATGCTGACTTTATTTCCATTACCTGTACATTTTCAAGTTTGAAGGACACTGTACAAGTTTAATGTTAATCTTTGTCACTCAGATGTGAATGAACTGCTAGGTCTCTAGTTTCATGAAAATGAGAGAGTCAGAGAATTAGTTTAAATCTCTAGAAAAAGAATCCTTAGTATGCCCCACACCCACAAAATTGTATGAATTAACATGCATGATTGTTGAATGTGTGCACTTCCTGGGAAGTTTCTAGAAGGGTTTGTGAACTCAAAAATAAACAAGAGTCACTCCTGTAGTGACACACCAGCCAAATGAATGGAGCCCTTTGCTCTCAAGTGTGTATCTCCTCACAACATACTATTCCTTTCCATCTTTGACTACTGTCTCTACAGATTGTTCTGTGATCATTTGACTGGCGTACTTGCCTCATGCATTCCAGCTTAAAAAGTAAAAAGCAGAAGCCATCACCACCACCACCACCACAAAGTTGATTTTCATATAACTGAACGGAAATGATGGGCTTAAACTAATTCCGGTTTCTTTATTGTTTGACAGGTTCAACCTTACGGGGTCTGAGAACTGTGCAGTTCTGAACAGTGCAGAGGTCAGCAGCACAGAATGTGACAAGAATTTACACTGGATATGTAGCAAACGTTCCAAATAAAGAGGACATTCTAACATGGAACTCTAGGAAATGTGACAAGTGTGGCTGCATGCCGCTCTTTGGTCAGAAGTTTCCCATAAAGACTTTGTGAAAAAAAAGCTTTGTATTATTTGGGAAACTTTCTTCCACACAAGACTGGAAAAAAGGAAGGAAAATTCCAGGCATGTCTGCATTATGGAATACTCCTGCCATGATCTGAAAGTATCACAGGTTGACTGATAAATCTTGTCCAAGGATGAGAAAAATGACTTCAAAGCTTTTGAGTGCACTTTATATATTTTTAATTCAGAGATAATAAAATAACTAGGTTTAGAGTTATTATTTATTGTTGGATGACTACAAACAATGTATGCCCTTCATGCACTTGTACTGTATGAAGGAATTAGACAGTGGTATTAAAAACTGAATGTAAACAAAGGAAATTTTAACTGGTAGCACAGAGATTTAGTCTAAATGCATTTTACCAACTCCAAGGATATTAGTAAATGGGCAAATGCTTATGAAATGAAGCTTTGTAATATTTCTCTCTTTTTAAAGAAGTTTGTCAGGATTTTTTTTTTCATTTCTCCCCCAAACAATGGGATGATTAGCTATTTATATTATTTTTTTCACTTCTTCTCTGTAAGCTTGTCTTTTTCAATGGTATATAAATTATTGCCTTATATATAGTCTCTCACAAAGATAAGGGAAAAAACAAAGAATATGAGGAATATTTGTAAAACAGACAAAAGTGTTGGAANTATTTATATTATTTTTTTCACTTCTTCTCTGTAAGCTTGTCTTTTTCAATGGTATATAAATTATTGCCTTATATATAGTCTCTCACAAAGATAAGGGAAAAAACAAAGAATATGAGGAATATTTGTAAAACAGACAAAAGTGTTGGAAAATGTGAAATATGTGATGTGGCAAATCTCTATCAGGAAAAAGTCTGTATTGTTAAATTCTGGAATAATAATAGTTCTATCTCCTTATAAATGTGTGTCTTTCCTGATAAAATTCTATCATGTGCAATACTTCATGTGAAGTATTTCCTAAGTGCAATAAATTATGTTTATTTGTTTGTCTTTTGTATCCAGTGCAATTATAAGCTGCCTTTATGTATGTTAAAATAAAAGTAAAAAAAAAATGGTTTCTAAGAAATGGTGATTCCTACAATATATACTAAAACTTGCATCTCATACTAGAAAGGAAGAAACAGAATAATATAACATTTTTTGGAAGACATACCTATTATAAAACCTTAGCTTTATAATGATTTGTTCCTGGAAAGTGGTTTCCATGTATGTTTTCAGAGAGCTGTATAGAGCAAAATTTCAGTAAATAGTCTAACTGACTTGAGAGGAATTTATGTCAATTAAAAATTTTTCACTCTATAACTTTCTTTTTTCTTTTGTTTAATTTTTAAAATTTTGTATTGGAGTATAGATGAGTAATAATGTGATAGTTTCAGGAGAACAACGAAGGGACTCAGCCATACCTATATATGTACCTATTCTTCCCCCAAATCTCCTCCCATTATGGATGCCACATAACATTGAGCACAGTTCCCTGTGTTATACAATAGGCCCTTGCTGGTTATCCATTTTAAATACAGTAATGTGTACATGTTGATGCAAATGTTGTCCAAGTTTCATCTCTACCTCTCTAGTTGACCAGCTGTTTATTTAGAATTTGGTAGAAATTTCATTATTAGCTAGAAATTAAGTTAGTTAATACAAGAAAATGGACTTAGAACAATACTTAGTTCAAACTGAACCCCAGTTCAGTTCAGTCACTCAGTCATGTCCGACTCTTTGCAACCCCATGGAATGCAGCACGCCAGGCTTCCCTGTCCATCACCAACTCCTGGAGCTTGCTCAAACTCATGTCCATTGAGCCAGTGATGCCATCCCACCATCTCATCCAATGTCATCCCCTTTTAATTCTGCCTTCAATCTTTCCCAGCATCAGGGTCTTTTCCAATAAGTCAGTTCTTCACATTAGGTGGCCAAAATATTGGAGTTTCAGCTTCAGCATTAGTCCTTACAGTGAATATTCAAGACTGATTTCCTTTAGGATGAACTGGTTGGATCTCCTTGCAGTCCAAGAGACTCTTAAGAGTCTTCTTCAACACCACAGTTCAAAAGCATCAATTCTTCAGTGCTCAGCTTTCTTTATAGTCCAACTCTCACATCCATACATGACTACTGGAAAAACCATAGCCTTGACTAGATGGACCTTTGTTGGCAAAGTAATGTCTCTGCTTTTTAATATGCTGTCTAGGTTGGTCATAACTTTCCTTCCAAGGAGTAAGCGTCTTTTAATTTCATGGCTGCAGTCACCATCTGCAGTGATTTTGGAGCCCAAAAAAATAAAGTCTGACACTGTTTCCACTGTTTCCCCATCTATTTCCCATGAAGTGATGGGACCAGATGCCATGATCTTAGTTTTCTGAATGTTGAGCTTTAAGCCAACTTTTTCACTCTCCTCTTTCACTTTCATCAAGAGGCTCTTTAGTTCTTCTTCACTTTCTGCCATAAGGGTGGTGTCATCTGCATATCTGAGGTTATTGATATTTCTCCCGGCAATCTTGATTCCAGCTTGTGCTTCTTCCAGCCCAGCGTTTCTCATGATGTACTCTGCATATAAGTTAAATAAGCAGGGTGACAATATACAGCCTTGACGTACTCCTTTTCCTATTTGGAACCAGTCTGTTGTTCCATGTCCAGTTCTAACTGTTGCTTCCTGACCTGCATACAGGTTTCTCAAGAGGCAGGTCAGGTGGTCTGGTATTCCCATCTCTTTCAGAATTTTCCACAGTTTATTGTGATCCACACAGTCAAAGGCTTTGGCATAGTCAATAAAGCAGAAATAGATGTTTTTCTGGAACTCTCTTGCTTTTTCGATGATCCAGCGGATGTTGGCAATTTGATCTCTGGTTCCTCTGCCTTTTCTAAAACCAGCTTGAACATCTGGAAGTTCACGGTTCACGTATTGCTGAAGCCTGGCTTGGAGAATTTTGAGCATTACTTTACTAGCGTGTGAGATGAGTGCAATTGTGCGGTAGTTTGAGCATTCTTTGGCATTGCCTTTCTTTGAGATTGGAATGAAAACTGACCTTTTCCAGTCCTGTGGCCACTGCTGAGTTTTCCAAATTTGCTGGCATATTGAGTGAAGCACTTTCACAGCACTATCTTTTAGGATTTGAAACAGTTCAGCTGGACTTCCATCACCTCCAGTAGCTTTGTTCATCATGATGCATCCTAAGGCCCACTTGATTTCGCATTCCAGATATTTGGCTCTAGGTGGGTGATCACACCATCATCGTTACCTGAGTCATGAAGGTCTTTTTTTGTATGGTTCTTCTGTGTATTCTTGTCACCTCTTCTTAATATCTTCTGCTTCTGTTAGGTCCATACCATTTCTGTCCTTCATTGTGCCCGTCTTTGCACAATAGGTTCCCTTGTATCTATAATTTTCTTGAAGAGATCTCTAGTCTTTCCCATTCAATTTTTTCCTCTATTTCTTTGCAGTGATCATTGAGGAAGGCTTTCTTATCTCTCCTTGCTATTCTTTGTAACTCTGCATCCAAATGGGTATATCTTTCCTTTTCTTCTTTGCCTTTTGCTTCTCTTATTTTCTCAGCTATTTGTACAGCCTCCTCAGACAACCATTTTGTCTTTTTGCATTTCTTTTTCTTGGGGATGGTCTTGATCACTGCTTCCTGTACATGTCACGAACCTACATCCATAGCTCTTCAGGCACTCTGTCCATCAGATATAATCCCTTGAAACTATTTGTCACTTCCACTTATAATAAGGGATTTGATTTAGGTCATACCTGAATGGTCTTGTGGTTTTCCCCACTTGCTTCAATTTAAGTCTGAATTTGGCAATAAGGATACGGTCCACAGGGTTGCAAAGAGTCAGACACGACTGAAGCAACTTAGCACACATCCCCACATTAGGCAAGATAATCCCCCCCCAAAGTTGATGATTTTGGAAAATATGAGTATGTCAGATTACAAGCAAGAAATTCTGATAAGATTAATGTTATAGACTTTCAGGTCGATTACCCTGAATTGTCTAGGTAGCCCCAAACTAATTACAAACATACTTTGTTTTATTGTCCTTTGCCTACTGCATTTTTCACATCTTGAAGTCTTGTGGCAAGTCTGCATCAAACAAACCTATCAGTGCCATATTTTCAACAGAATTTTCTCACTTCATGTGTCTGTGTCACTCTTTGGTATTTCTAGCAATATTTCTTTATATTTATTATGATGACCTGGTGTCGGTGATCTTGGGTGTTTCTATTGCAAAAAGATTACGACTCACTTCAAGATGATGATTAGAATTTATCAACAGTATTTATTTAAGATTTTTTTTAATGTGGACCATTTTTAAGGTCTTTGTTGAATTTGTCTCTGTTTTGTGTTTTATTTTGTTTGCCTCAAGCCATGTGCTTTCTTAGCTCCCCAACTGGGGATGGAACTCACACCCTCTGCACTGGAATGCAAAGTTTTAACCACTGGAGCACCAGGGAAGTCCCAGAAGTAAAATATTTTTAAATTAAGGTATGTTCATTGATATTTTTTAGACACAATGCTATTGCTCACTTAATAGACTACATTATGATGTAAACATAACTTTTATATGCATCAGGATACCAAAAAGTCTGCCTGACTTGTTTCCTTGTGACATACCCTTTATTGTGGTGGTCTGGAAACAAACCTGTACTATCTCTGAACTCTGCCTGTGTATGAGACTTTAAAAGCAGAGAAATGTCTCCGGCTAGAGTTAGATTGGCCTGAAGAAGAGGTCAGAGAGATTAGAAGCATTTTTGCTGGCTTGAAGATGGAGCAGGCAGCAGGATAAAGAAGGCTGTTGGCCTTAAGAAGAGGGCAATCAGCAAGTGAGTGAAAATTAAACCACTTCAGCCAAAGAAACTGGCATTCGCAACTACTTGCACAAGCTTCAGAGTGTTTCTTTCTGAGGTCCTCCACAGGGAAAGGAAGCCCTTCTGACACCTTGATTTTGGCCTCATAAACCCTAAGCAGAGAGAACTGAGTCACAGTGAACCTGAACTTCTGAGTTATAGAAACAGTAAGATAATAAATACGTGTGGTTTTAAAATGTGCGATTTGTAGCAATTTGTTATGGCACCAAGAGAAAACTAATAATTTTCATTTTCAGCTAATTTCTGCTGAATAAAAATACAATTGATTTTTTTATATTCATTGTGCATATCCAGGGACCTCTCGACTCACTTATTAATTCTAATAATTTACCAGTAAGGTTACTTGGATTTTCTATAAGTGGGATTGCATCTATGGCTGATGTGTGCTTTGTTTTTTCCTTTCAAAACTTTATAACTTTAAAAAAATTATTGCATTTGTTAAGGCCATCAGCATGTTAAGTAAATGTGATGACAGTGAATATTTTGTCCTCAATCTCAAAGAGAAAGTTTTCAACAATTACCTTTAACATAATGTTTAATATAGTTTTCTTTGCTTGTTTGGTTGTTTATTCTTTTTGGAGGGGTGATAGCAGTGATATATATTATCAAACTAAGAAAAAATTCTATTTCTTTTGAGATATTAATTTTATCATTACAGTTTTAGCTCTAAATTCCATTTTCATCACTTTTTGTAATTTTCAAGTTTCAGCCAAAATTCTAAAGTATTTTATTTCCTCAAACTCATTTTGGGTATGCTATTATTTCAAATATT